TACGAGTTTACATACAAGCAGCGTGGAAGGTGTCTGCTTCAATTTACTGCTAGTAACGCGGTGGGAATTTGGAAGCATACTATATTGCATGCATACATATATGTATGTATGTATGTACATATCTGTGGCATTTCGATAAAACAACTTATCTCGAGTTAGGCCACTATCTCTTTAAAGCAGTATTTCAGTTAAATTCCAAACACAAATTTTAACGATTAGCTAGCCATAAGCGTAATTTAAGCAGCGATTTTAATAATTGTACAAAAATTTTAAGCAAAACGTTGTCTTTTTTAAACCAAATTCAAATCTTTAAAATTCACTTAAGTTGTTTTATAAAAATGCCACCTACTTTTGCAAACGAATTGTTGCCAACTGATTGCCAGGTGTGGCACGTGCCTTTATTTGCCACTGTGCGCAGGTGTGTGTGTGTGTATGTGAATAAGTGTGTATGTGTATAAGTGTGTATGTGTATAAGTGTGTATGTGTGAGATAGGTTGTTGATGGCAGCTTTGTGGCGAATAACTAATGAAATTTATTTCATGTCCACAAAACAAATTGAATGATAAGGTGTTATTTGTGCAAAACAATGAATTCTGATTATGTGGCAACAAAAGTAACTAAATTTTTCGGATAAAAATTTTAAAAAGCTTCGGATAAATGCGAAACTGTACGTTTTTTCGACACTAAAATAAAAATGCTTGAAGTTTTAGTTTTGAATAAATTTTATATGTAAACAAATAGTGTAGCCAAAAATTTAATCTACTTTATTTTAATTTGTTTAGCGTGTAAAATTATATGTACTATTTTTTCCAGTTCTCCGTTTGATGTTGATTTATCTACAAATTTTGTTTGATATTATTTTATAATATTTCATCTCATATTATTTTAAATTTCTTGCTATTTTCTTAAATTACCGATAAAAATTGTATTACAAAATGCTGTACCGAATTTTAGCTTCATATCATTTTTTTTCTCTCTCCTACGTTCTGCCTGTGGTAAGGTATTTATTTATTTTAGTTTTCGATAATATTTTTGCAATTTTCCCTTAAAATAGTATCCTTCGCTTAAATGTAAATTAAGTAGAAATTTCCTCATTCACTTACATTTACGAGTGTCGCTGCTGCTCTGCTGGGTGGTTGCGAATGAATCCTTGTTTCCGCTTCGCTTAACCGCAATCACTCGCTGTTTCTCGCTTTTAAATTTCTTCGCGTTTACAAATCGCGGTACGTGTTTTTATTAAACATACTTCGCGCCACGTTTAGCGTGTATTCACGCGCTCTATATTTTCACATAAACATACAGAATTTACAGTTGAGTACTCGAAATCTCTCTGTGGCTTTGCTTATTTGTCTGTACATAGTAGAATATTCGATTATGCTGCTTTTGCTATTTGCAGTTGCGGCGGTTTCTTTATAAAGTGTAGAACGTTTTGGTTTAAAACTGTGGCAGATTAAATTCGCCCCTCACAGACACGCACGCGTTTACTCACTCACACTGACAGCCAGACAAGCATAGATGAACATATAGGCGAACTTTCAATGACAAAAAAGTGCTAAATTCCATAAAAGCAAAACATATGTAGTAGTACTGTGTAAGCGGATGCGGATATGAACCCGACAGCGTATACTTGCACAATTGCCCAGTACATACAAACATATCGTACATAAATATGTATATGCAGTAGGCGCTTGAGGAGACGACGAAAAGGTCGTTGGGTACCGCACAACTGTTAACTTTGCGCTTCAGCTGCTGGCGTTGGCGACGTGCTCAAGCTCACCTCGTAGTAGTTACTTTCTTCAGCGCTTCCCTTTTCGCTGCCAGCGCATTCTCGACTCGTGCAGACATTTCAGGAGTTGTTTGCTTCGTGCGCCTTTCGCTGCTCACTTGGTCCTTCTGTCGCTCGGTCAGCCTGGCTCGTTGATGAACTTCTCGCTACTATAGCTACTCTTTGTTCACTGACTCGTACGGTCGGCAACTCCACTTTGCTTTTGCTCTTTCGCTTCCTGTCATCCCAATATTCGAGACAGTCAACGGGAATCCTGCTACACACACACACACACTTACTTACATGCACACCCACACAGAAACAAAGCCATAGACATAAAGTCTCGCAAACTAGGATACGAAATGCGATATGTATTTAAATATTACTTGAAGCACGTTATTTGAGAGTTTATTGATTTTTTCATTTCCATATCCTTGCGCTCGTACTTTGGGTGCTTGTGTCCCATGATGTGTTCCAGCGGAAAATACCACTTTGGCTAAATACTTTTGCTATAATTGTTTTCAACTCATACCAGACACGCACACACGCACACATACACAGGCATACCAACTCGCTCCAACACTGCCACATTCACTTATCCACTCTGGAGCCCCACACGCTGCTCGGCTTGCATTCGTTTGATCGTTGCGCGTTAATGAATTATATAATTTAGCAACATACTTTCACTTGGAACACGTTCCAGTTGCTTTTTTCTCTACTCTACATATCGCTGCGGAAAGCCCATAGACTTGAAAATGGGTCTTCTCCGTCAATATTCCAAAAAAAGAAAGCACCAGAATCACATAATTGGCAATTTTTCAGTAATTTTGTCGTTTTTCAGCGTAAAAGTCTGCCTTTTTCTATATGCTATATGCACAATTTGGCCCTGTGGCTTCAGTCTGTGTAGATTGGGGAAAGCACTGTTCGGACCGTCTTGTTAGCGTTTTGCTTCCGCGAATTCGTTTGAACACCACCAATAGAAAAGACAAACTGAGCTCAGACGAGCTCGTACATGGAAAATTTCGCCCAGAAATTTTTGAGGGCATGAAACTAGGCGCAGCCGAGTGTTTAGCGAGAGTAAGAGAGCCTGCTAAAAGCTTATAAAATCGACAGATTTGTGGATTTTAGCTCACATGCCGATGCACTCTGAGGCGACAAGTGGTGGGTGCATGAGAAATCGTGTCAATTTGCCGGCTGCCGATGGTTTGTTTACATGCCCGAATGCTTAAGGCAATGCTGAATTTTGAGGTTAAAAATTATGTCAAACAGGGTTGAAATTTGGTAGAGAATTGAGACTTAGAAATTTGTTAGAGAAAAAAGCTTTTACCACCAAGTGGAAAGATTTGGATTTTTGAAAGTCGAAGGGAAACAGACTTAAGCCCCTTTTTACAGTGGAGAGTTAACTCACATTCGGCATTGAACGTTTAATTTTTGTACTGAGCAACAACCAAACAGGCGTTAGAAACGAGCGAAATGAGCGAAATTTCTCAAATGTTATTCGTTTAATATGCGTTATTTTTCTAAAATTTTGACACAAGTGTTCCAGCAAAAGAATATTTAATGGTTAAACGTACTAACTTCAGTGGATGCCATTTTACCCAGCTGTCCATAGCTCTCTTCCACAAGCAAAAACTCCCGTATTTCACTGCGTTTTCCTCCACTGCGATTCGCATCCGCGTGCTCTCTTTCTCTCTAGCGCAACCAATTAATGCGCATGCGCCAATCTTCCGTCTATGCTGAATGTATACACAAACAGTGCGACCAGCATATTGACAGACAGCAAAGATGTGAACTGCGCTCAACTAGGCCGTGAGTCTTTGTTTATACAAGAATTCGATGCAAATGCACGAAAGCGCGTGCCATGCTGCCCTGAATGCCACATCCGTCCTGTGCTGCAATGTCTGTTTACCACCCGTTAAGCGTTTTTCCATTTGCTGCCACTTTATTCCGGCATCGCCCACAGCGCTCACTCTGCAATGTTTGTTCTTTCATCTGCAGTGCGCTTTGCATATTTTTAGGCTGTGGAACGTAGCGGGAGTGCAATGCCAAAAAAGCGCCAAGCATGCAATTAGCCGCGCCGATGAAGTGAAATGCAATGATGAAAGCGAACAATGCAAATGAAAGGAAAATTATGTGCTTTGTTCTTATAGAGCCCATACAAAGGGGGAGAGAAGATAGCGCTGTAGGCGCGCGGTCGTCACCGACGGTTTGCATTATTTTGGAAAAGTTCAGCTGCAGTTAAGCGAATAATAAAATTGAAGAACTAATAAAAAGCGTGTAAAAGTTTTAATTACCGGCGCGCCTGAAAGTATGTCAAACCTAAAAGTATGTAACATCATTCTGACGAAATGAGGCAAACTGCTAATGCGCTACGACAATTTTGTCGCCATCAAATGTTGAATTTTTAATAAAGATAACTAACAAGAGCGTTTCAACTCTATCCACCTGCCCAAGCACCAAAAACAAAAAAAAACTGACGCGAATTAATTAAAAGTGAATGACATTTTATGAGCGCCACTGTTGCCATTTGGGATATACATATGTATATACGCTTCGAACGTATCTTCTTCGTGGGCACGCGCTTGTTTGTGTAGCAGGTTTCTTCCTGTATGGGCTGTGTGAAACGTTCACTCTTTGTTTCGAGAGGACAATGAACGCTGGCTGTCATTTTTTAATTGCAAAGCTAAGAGCCCAAAGACAGCAGTCAACAGACAGGCAGCCAACGCCAGGCCAGTACATACATAGAAGTGGCATTAAAGGCTTAATAAGAGAGCGTCAGTCTTTTTAATTATTGATAAGGCGCTCGTAAAAAATGCAGGCGCAACAATTAGAATTTCCTCATGGACGGAAAGTAAAAATGTATGACCCCTACTTCTGCCATATTACGAGTATAATTATTTCACAGTATGAAACTCGTTCAATAGAAGCATTTTAAAGGCGGGCGGGGCGCGGTTTCTTAATTGTTGGTTAAACGCGAATCACTGCTAAGGTACTCCTTAACACTTTGGCAGAGCTTCAAATTTCAACTGCGTTGTTTTTAAATAATTTTGTTTAAAGTCGATTTCTGAAATATATTTCCAATGCAGCTTAGAAATTCGGAGCTCAGCTGCTTTACACTCCACATCCGCGCGCATTTAACCAACGATTAAAGCAAACCGCTTTATTAAAATAAAAATAATGAATTTTTATACCAGTGAGTTAAACGAAAATCGTTTTTGTTTGCGATCGTACTCACTTTAGTCGGCGGTCTCTGTGCCACACAGCCAATTGCAGACGTTCGCCCGCGACAGCAGTATCCGTTTCCGTTTGCGCCTGCGCCTGTGCGCTCAAATCAAATCTGAAGCGGTGATCGAAGTACGGACGGCTTGAATGCCGATGCACAGCCGTACGCTGGAAGTAATTCTCCGCTGGCTTATTGGCTGGTTTGTTGCGTATCAGCGCTACCTTAACGTACGCATTCAGCGCAGTAGAACCATTTGGACGCTGTAGATCGCGACAACGTATAACTGTTAAAAATAAGAAGAAGAAGGGAAATTGAAAGTAACGGCGTTTTTACTCTAACAATAAATTGTGTTTCGTGATTTTGCTATTTTAACCACCGCCCAATAAAGTTGGAACTCACCATGTACATTTAATTGCTGCCGCTCTACGTGTATAGACACCTCCACATTTCCACGCACGGCGTTGCTGCTCGGGCCTTTCCATGAGCCCTGCGAATTCCGCGATGCGCGTCCGGAACCGAAGTGATCGCCCATCATGGAGCTCGTATTGGAGGACGCCACCGAGCTTCGTTTTGCGGCGCTGCTAAAGTCCGCGTCGTCTTCCTCGTCGCTGGCCGATGAAAAGCTTAGACAACGCTTGATCGAATACGTCTCTTCCAGCGTCGGGGTTGAGCTGCGCTGCTGTAGCTCAGCTTCAGTAATCTCTGCTGCCGCTGCAGATGTTGCTGCATAATTACAGTCAACGACGTATATTGAGTTTGGTGGTGTTTGCATTGCTAAAAGTTCAGCGCGAGTCGTGCTGCCATGCTTGAAGAGCGGTGTGTCCGGACTTGGTATGCCATCGGGTAGCGTCAGGCCTATCAGTGGTTGCGGCTGCGGTGGTGTCAGTCGTGAAGCTGCGGCCGCTTCCTGGGCTATTCTCCGACGCGCGTCTGTTGTCTTGGTGTTCTTGCGCCGCACAACGCGCTGCCGCTTTAAATGCGTCGGCGTACGCACCTCCATTTCATGGATGCTCATTTCGCTGTCGCTAACGATGGCCGGCGAATCACTGCTGCCCTGCGCGCGCGTTGCTTGTAACTGTTGGTTGCTCTCTGTGTGACCCATTGCCTGCACCCGTTGTACATCTTTGCGTGCGCTCTCTATAATTGCATCCAACATCCGATCTAGCGTCACATCGCCCATGCGCGAAGAGGAGAGTGATTCATCGCGCGATGCATTGCGGAAACGAAAATGGCTAAGCGGCGTATCCTCCGGCTCTGTGGTCGCAAAATCATCGGAGAAACGATTACGCGTCGTCGGTGTGTCGCTGTTATTTGCATTCCGACGCTTCACGTTCAATGGCACATTGGCTTGCGTTTGACAGCGCAGAGCGGGGCGCGTGGGCGTGTAGTCAACGCGCAACGGACTCTTGCCGTTGCTGAGGTCCTGAAAGGCGGTGAGACTCGTGTTTCCGAAAGGACTACGCGTAAAATGTACGCCGAAATTTTCTTTATTTGCGGTACTGGTGAGTGAGTGACGAACGTGACGCGGCGAATGCGTTTCCAGTTGGTTGTCGAGTGAATAGCGTTGTATGCGGCGGCGTTCAAGCACGTGCGTCATAGTGGGCATTTTTTTGGGGGCGTGGTTGTTTGCGAAAATAAGTTGTTGATGTATTTTAAGGTAATTATCTGTGGACCGGCGTTCAACAGAAAACGTGGGTTGGGCGGTGTTGTCAGTGACGTTTTTATTGGAGGAGTTGTTTACGTTTCGATAAGTATGAGTGTCAAAAGCAGTGTTGTTGTTTTTGCAAGGCAGTTCGCTGTATAGATTTGTGGAGTTGAGAGAAAGTGGAAGGGCTTGGAGATGTGTGTTTTGTTGTTTTGCCCACTTAAGCATTGCTATGAGAACGGTAGCATTTGAAGTCTGGAAAAGATAGTGGAAGAAAGAGTAATTAAGGGGAAAATAAATATTCATAAAAAAGTTACTGACTTTTTCTGTAAATCATTGTCAATAATAATACAAAAATTGGTTGATATTTCTCTAAAACGAAATTAAATTTTCTGTTGACTTTACTAAAATAAATTAACCACATTAAGTAAATTAATAGTAATTTAAAAACAAAAAAATAGGTTCATGAAAAAGGTAAAAAAAAACACTCATACTAAATGGAAAATAAAAAAATATTATTGAAAATTAATAAAAAACGTATTTTAGTGTAGCGTTGTTATTTATTTAAATTGGAACTATCAACAATTTGAAATATATTTTTCGATTTTTACTGTTGTCGGAGTACCGACGCTTTTTAATGTTGAACGTAATTAAATGTCCGCCAGTGTTGTATTTGCTCGCCAAGACAAACGAATGTTGTTGGTTTTCGTCCTAGCTACAAGTAGACTTCTACTATAAATACACAGGGTGTGTTTAAAATACAGGGTGAAAGGGATGATGTTTAGGTTTTTGCATGATGCATTTCCGAACAGCAATTTGCGCAACTACTGGCGTTTTCGTTTCTACAAAAAATGTTGCCTTTTCATTACCCTCTCCTAAGCATTTGTTCAAAGAGAGCAATTAAAGGGCAACATTTTTTGGAAGAATCGAAAACGTCACAAGTCTCAATTCGAGATTCTCTTTCTGTTTGTCAGCGCATAATCAACATCTAATTCATATCTATCCTATGCTTATCAGAAAAAAAAAATATTTTCTTAAATTTGAGAGATACACACATATTTTATATGATTTTTATCACGGTTTTCCTGCATTTTTGCTTATAATCTTCCAAAAAAAAAAAATGAAATTTAAAAATAACTTTGGTATTTTATCAAAATTTTTATAACATTACATGCGTACAGTGACTCAAACAAATGTTCACATGTTAATTTTTTTTTATATTCATAATAGTTTTCAAGTGAAAAATTTTTTTCGCTATTTTTTTTTTAATATTGTTCTTGCTTTAACCAAAACCATATAAATCTTTATACAGAATTTAGAAAAATTCGACAAATTCGACAAATTTTCAACAAGTTTCCACTGGCTAAAAAACTGCGCTGATTTCTAGTTATCTTTTTTTTTGTTGTCGACTGAATTTGTTATAGAGTAAACAGCGCAAGACAGTTCGCAAAAAAAATTAAAAAAAAAAGAAAAATTCAATATTTTATTTGCCGTTAGAGGAAATTCAAGTAAGTAATTACATAATTCCGCTTTTAAAAGTTTGTACTTACGATAATCAAAAAGTAATGTTTATCAAAAATTACCTAAGTGCCGACCAATCTTGCCCGCTAGTTCTCACTGAGCCTCCCATTCCACCTTTCTACCTTAAAATTTTGCGAAATTAGAAAATAAAAACTCCACTTCCCCTTGACGATGCTTGCAGTTGCTCCTTGAATTTTAGATTTGAAAATATATGCCCTTATTAAAATACAGTTAATTCTTTTCGTTAGAAAAAACTGGAAGTAGAATTTTAGCGCAGCAGCTGCTCCAGCGATTTTTGACGCACAATCGATAACAAACAAAAGAATGATCAGCCAGACAAAAAATGAGGAAAAGAATTTTCTTTACGGCACGGAGGCAAATACCGATCGAGATAATCGTTTGAGCGCAAACTGAATGACTGACTTCATTGAATCGCAAAATAAAAGTGTATAACAACAGAAATCGCCTACGCTGCATGGCATACCAACGCATGCGGGTCCTTTTCACCTACATAAGCGCACGCATACACACACACACACCAAGGAGAAAGCAAAGGTGTATTGAATGTGCGCAGCCTAGCTGCTCCGTTTTCCTTTTGTTGCTACGGCTATGCATTGAATTCGCACCAGTTGAACGCTGGAAAATTGTTGCCACTTTCCGCGGCGGCCATTCAGCCATTATTGCCTTATTATTGCTGCTTTTGTTGTAATCAAACGGCATGCGGAGAAAATTAACGCGCGCAGCCGCGCTGCTTCATTTTTCGTGTTCTGCTTTTTTTGGTTTCTGCTTTGTTGATCAGCGGCGTAAAATTGTGACATTTGTTGGCTGTTGCACTACGATGCTCACAAGCTAAGGAGCAAGTCTTCTGAACGCTGTCGTGAAAAGAAATCGGAATGATTTCTTGATTGCTTGCAATCATCAAAGCCAAGCAAACATTTCGTTCTTGTTTTTTTTTTTTAAGCTATTTTGCTGTGGAAAAATATCACGTTCATTTTCTTTAAACTTTTGATTGTCACATGACTGATTCTGACCTTACCTTTCTGCCAAGGATACGCATTACAAGTAACGCATTGATTGCTCTTGTTTTCTATGTACAAATACATACATATGTACATATTTAAGTGTGTAGATACCCGCTGTTTTTGTTTTGATGTTGTTGTTGGTGCGACTTGAAGACATGCGCAAAAGTGGTCTCTATTGAATGACAGCTGTCAAGCTGTGTAGCTTTCATGTCGCGCGACGAGCGTCTAGCGCCACCGCTGCTCTATCCACTGTGGCCATAATAGGAGTAAGATTTCGCGGTGGTGCGCCTGGTCTAGGCGGAAAAGGTGTCGCTTAATGTGTATTTGATCTGATTTTGTTAGAATGTGCATACATATTTACAGCGTACACTGTATGTATAACTAAGGGGCGTTTTCGCAGTGAGAACTACTACGACAGTTAACTGTAAATGTTTGCGGTCAAAATCGACAGTTAACTTCCGACTGAGAGTTAACTGTCCACTGCAAAAATGGCCATAAGGAATGTGTGTTCTGGAAAGCAGTAGACGGCACTATGCGAGTGATTTGCTATTGAAAAAAAATTTTAATGAACTTAAGTACAGTGGTGTAAAAATAAATAGGGACGAGATATTTTTACAAATTGCCTACTTTTTTATTTAGTACGTATAATTTTTTTATTTTTAATATTTTTTTCTGACTGATTTATGCATTTCTTTCCATACACAAAAAAAATTTATGGAAGAAAATGTGTGAAAAAAAAATTACCAAAAATTAACGCAACTTCAAATTTGCTAATTATTATACTAGAATTTAATAGGCTTAAAAACTACAAAAATAAAAATAAAAAATCTGAAAATCTGCGTTAAAAGATGAAAATTTAGATGCAATTAAGCCCAATTTTTGCACACAGTTTGAAATATGAATTTTTAATTTTTTTTTTTGTTAGGTAATGATTTATACTTTTATAAAAAAATAATAAATATTAAATATACAAAAGAAAAATAGACAAAATCTTTTAAAATAACGCTTCCCTATTTATTTTTCCAACACTGTATTTAATAATCCCTATTTTATTACCGTTCAATATCAATATTTCTATTTTTAGATCATCATTTAGATATCCTTACTTTTTGATTTTTAATTTTTGGACAAGAATAATCGTGAATTTGAATTTTTATTTTTTTCAGTTGTTTATGTGTGTTACCGCATAACTTTGGGACGCATTAACCGATTTCTAGGTGTTACCATACTAATTGGGTTTAAATCCGATCAATTTTTATATGAGAATTGAAGTCGGGTTTGTTTTTTGCTTAAAAATTTATTGTTTTATTTCGATAAAAAAAAATCGTATATACATAATTTAAAAAATTATATTAACGATTATAATACAAAAACTAAATAATAATCAAAAATTACGCTCAAAAATTTATCAAAAAAAAAAACAAAAAATGATTTTTGTGATCGAAAAAAAAATCTAAAATAACTAACAAAAATTCGAAAACGGTATAAAAACCAAAAAGCGATTATTCTTGATCGAACAAATAAAAATTATAAAATAACAGTTAAATTTTATTGGAAAAATGGGAATTTAACTTAAACGGTTAAATTATTATTTTTATTATAAAGTTCATAACCGTTACGGTCTCTGCTTTTGTAAACTTTTTTGATGCCTTGCATACCTTCTTATCCTCTTCCCTAGACGTTCCTCCCTCCAAATATACTACACATAAACTGCATACTAGTGCATCTAGATCTGCGCATGTAGTATCCTTGCATGTCCTTTCGCTCTGACCGCGGAAAGTACAAATTTGCGTTTCTACGCAGCAAAGTAGCGGAATTCTGCAGCGACCGCCATCTCTTGCAAATCTGAAATGTTTTGTTTACTGCTAATAAAATTCCAGTTTGTTGCTAGAAACTGGTAATTTTTGTGATTTACTATCGTTAAAAGGTCGAAAAAGACGCTCAAATTCAACGACAGCAATAAGCAGTAAATTGCAAAAAGTAAAGATTGCGTCTTTAGCAAATAGAATAACAAAAAAAAAAAACGCAGAAAATCTCCAAGAGAAGGGTTGCGTCACAAGACAAAAAAAGCTAATAGAATTGTGTGCAAAAATCGGTTGCCTAAATGGTGCTCGCCTCCTTGCCTGCCTCAGATTGTCTGCTACGCGCTTGCTACACATGCGCTTCTTGAAGACGCAGCGCGCTTCACCATCAGAGCTTTTTTCTCTTTGTTGTGGCGGTCGCATTGAAACCCGTTTTCTTGCGCCCTTTGCGAAATGTTGTCTTTGCTTTTATTATTATTTTAATTCTTTTTCAATCTCTGTGATGTATCTTTTTTCCGTTGGTTCTCGCGCGTATGAGTGCCTGTGCGTGGTGCCTTGAAGACCCCAGCGCCGACGTAAGAAGCTTTCCGGTTTCCGTACATGCCACACAACCACACTTTGCGCCTGCGCATCCAGCTAAGACAGTCGCTCTGCTGATTTGTACATTCACTTTCTGACATTATTTCTGTTATTTCTGGCTTGTACGCGGCCCTCATTCGCGGCTATTTAATGCATTCATTGCCATTCAATTCAATCAGTTTCAATTTGCCAGAGTCGCCATTGGTCCCTAACGCTTTTGTTCTTATTTCGCATATGCAAGTCCTTTTTCGCATTTCTGGTTTTAAGTTGCTGCCGCAATGGGTGCGCGCTTTGTTCGAATAAGTTGGCATTTAATTACTTTCAAAGGAAT